TATACATATATATATATATATATCATGCGTATATTTTTCTGTACTCCAATATACTTTTGTGCCTACTCACGCGCATACGACTGTATGTTCCGAATTTCACTTCAAGTAGAACAGGCCAACGGATCCTCACTGCTACAGGAAGTGCTAACATTTCTGGTGCCCGCTAGTCTTGAGGATTCCAGGGTTCGGCTGATTGGTTGCTTAGCAACCACCCGTGTGTGTGTGAGGGGCGCAAATGGTGGACTAACCGACGCGGAACCTGTAGGTGTACTGGAAAACGATATGTCTTTATACTTTACTGCATGTGTATGTTTGCCTTCGTGTCTCTGCTCCAATGGGTTATTTCATATGTGTATGTCTGCCCATGACTCTTAACCATATACATTTCATCAGCCTGTTTTGGACTACTGGCAACAATCTCGTATGGCCGCGTCAAAAATATACCGTTTGTATCTCCACGCCTATGTTCTGCAATGTCTTGACCGTTTGATTTGCCTGTAGCTCCCGGTACTATACGTCACTGTACAATCTACTTCATTTGTTGGTTCTTCTGTACAAGCTACTTCATTTGTTGGTTCCACAGTACAAGCTACTTTATCTGTTGTTTCCACTGTACAAGCTACTTCATGTGTTGGTTCCATTTGTAATTGTCTGCCCCTGTCTACCGCCGACAAAGTTTACTGTACGACACATTCGTAACGCCTCCCCGGAAGGCACACAGCCTACCCGTACTCTGTGACTATACAACTATTTTAAGTCATGTTCACTTCCTGTTCTATTTTTTGTCTACCTATGTCACTATTCAACTATTTCAAGCCTGTTCACTTCCTGTTCTATTTTTAGTCTACCTCTGTCACTATACAACTATTTTAAGTCATGTTCACTGCCTATTCTGTTTTTAGTTTACCTTTGTCACTACACAACTATTTTAAGTTATGTTCACTGCCTATTCTATTTTTAGTTTACCTCCGTCACTATACAACTATTTTAAATCATGTTCACTTCCTGTTCTATTTTTAGTCTTCCTCTGTGACTTTACAACTATTT